TCTCTCTCTCTCTCTCTCTCTGTCTCTCTCTCTCTCTCTCTCTCCAGAAACCATGTACCTATCTAGATGTGATAGTGTTTGAAGTCTCTAGCCGTAATTAACTTTTTCATTTTTTTTTTCAGTATACAAAAGCTATTGAAGGAGCGGATAAAAAATGGTAAAAGATGCAGGACAATATTATTCTTATCTGAGAAGAAATTCATATAGTCAATTCTCATATAATGCATTTATTTTGTCACAATACTTTACTATTCTATAAAATTTGACGTGAATTCAAAGTTGGACAAAGCCGTAGTAAAGTTGAGGCTGCATGGTTGACTGTAAATCTTGAAAATTTCGTCTGAGAAAAAAAGGCTAAAGACTGTTAGTCGAAAGCAATAGAAAAATCGGTTTTGAAAGATCTTCTATCAATGCTGTACATGTTATCAGCAGTGCACTCGTAGACTCCAGCGTCCATTTGTGTAGCCGGGTCGATTTCTAGTTTTGATTTGACGGTGTCATTCCGTACTTGCCACTCGTGAACCTAATAAATACCAAAATTCTCAGAAAGTACACTTTTTATTACTTTATATCTCTCGAGAATCTCATCGCAAAATTCAACTCTGTATGTCTGTATAAGTTGTTCAATATGCAATAACAATTGTAGAAAATTTTCCCTACTAGACTCTTATCAACGGGGTTTTTGATGTTCAAATTGACCTTTCTTCCAAGTAATAGAACAGTATATTTCTAACCTAGAAAGGTATAGTAGAGAAGTTGGGTCTTCGTATTAATCCCATCTTCGATTGAGACGGGGATCGACAATAATCGATACTTTTTTCAATGATACTGACTGTTTTCACTCATTACCTTTTCAATGGGTACTTGAAATATTGCATTGCTTAATTACTTTACTATTTGCAATACAAATTATAGCATTTTCCAGTATTTTAACAATTTTAAATGAAAATTATATTTTTTTCATGACTTCAGGATTAAATGAAATAGTACGCGAAAAATCTGATTACATTTTCAAAATCAATTAGTCTAAATATCTGCTGATTTAGTTTTGTAATTTTATTTGAAAATCGAAATTATTCAATTCCCGAAAAGTAGTAGCAATCGTCATCACTTGATCGTTTCTCAATGAGCCGATAATGAAAATCGAATATTGTTTAACTACTTTATGAATAATAACTGAAAATCATTATTTTCAGTAACGAGTGAAGTAAAAGAGAATTATTTCATTACAAACAACTAAGCGACTGGAAGCATGCAGCTGTATATTAGTAGTGTAGCTAGGCGGGTTCTGAACACTATTTCGCCCAACCGCCACCAAGCGGCGCCACAGTCGTGGAAAGTTCGAGACGGATGACGTCATCGGTGAGTCACTCAGACCGATGACTCATTAATTCGCGTAGTAGGCGTATCTTGTAATTCCTGTTGGAACTTGTATGGAAAATGATACTATGATGGCTCACAGATTCATGTGAAAAAATGATGTCATTGATATTTTAATTTTTCTGGAATATACGCGAATATTATGTCGGCTTCCAGAGGAGGTTTTATAAAAATAGATGACGCCACGATTGCCTAATGTTCACACGATGGATAATTCATCGATTCGCGCGGTGGAAGAACCCCCCATGTCCTGTTGGCATTTGTACGTCCGAGGGGGATGATGTCATCACTTAGGCCGATGACTCATTCATTCGCGTGGTGGGGGTAAGTTCTGTTGAGATGTGCACGAACTATGATACTCCTAGATTTGTATCATCTTGATGACTTATGCATGATCAATAACATCATCATGATGATACATCGATTACACCGTCACAATGGGTTCTTGATTCAGATTATGATTCATGATCAATCATCAAACCATTAGTTAAATCGTGTAACTGAGGGGGGAAAGCGCTCGGTGATTAGTAAAGAAATGAAATGGTTAAATCTAAAAAAACCAAGTATACAATCATTGATAACCATTTCGAAAAGCGTGATTATATATTCACAGAAAAGCTCGTTGATGATTTACATAGTTTGTAAAATAATTATGCAGCAGTGAAATCCCAACGGGCTACTGAGAAAAAGGATTGTTCACATTGTTCTTTTAGAGGTCATGTATTAATGAGCATCACCGTTTTCATCGACAATTTACTAAAATTGAAGTTTTACGAATTACAGGACATTGAATCAGCGGATGTCACTGTTAAAGAAATTCAATGGTTACGGTCAGTTCCACCATATTGTCTCACGGAGGATGATGTTATTAGCAAGTTCTTGAATGTAGCACCTTGGGAATATCCACCACTGGATAGATTTGTTGAAGAAATACGTAATCTCTGGAATATGCGCTCCAGAAATAAGAATCAGAAAGAAAGATTCTGTTACTATTGTTGGCTGCTGAGCAATCACTTTGGAGCCATAATACAAAAATCACAAGAATTGAATGGTGAAATGAATCTTGTTCATTGTGAATTTAAATCATTCTCCAATGCTCCTGAATTCGGAGATATTCATTTCTACTCGAGTGGAAAGAATTATGGATGATACCACAATGGAGACAGGACAACCGGAAAGGATCAAACGAGTTCAATTCCAATCAGAACTCAAAGTTCATTTGATGATATATTGGGGCTATGCTTATCAATCTACTAACCGAGGTCCATGGGAGGAAATCGCTCTAGATCATGACCGTTTTAAATGTTGAATAAGTTTTCGTGAAAGAATATTGTATGCTATATTATCAGAAGAACATAGAAGGAATTTATTTAATACTCGTTTTAAGATAACTGTATGATAATTATGAGAAAATAAGTATGCATAAAAAAATGGAAATACTTCGTTAAATGTTGAAAAAATTTATTCATTTATTCAAATATGTACGTTATTACCATTACTATTATCATTATGAGAAACAATCTGAGAATATATATATAATTACACAAGTGGCTTGAAATACCCCCAAGATAGAGTATCTGTTGTATGGAGTGAAATCATATGCTTATCATTTTCCCAACTCAAAACCACCTCCTGTTAGCAGATTGTGTGCACTTCATGTTTTTTGCTCTGGATTAAGTACTGATTTCTGACACTGTGCTCATTACCGAAAAGACATTTTTTATAATCATTGAATGTGCTTTTCCTGAGTGTAGCAGCTTTAACACCTTCAGCTTTCTTCTTAGCTTTCTTATCATTCAACATCCTAGATGCGTATGTTTTGGCTCGTAGACCGACAAATTCAACCGTGATTCGACCATTATTCTCATCCTTTATGAGTCCTAATACTTTCTTGTTTGCGAGAGGTATTCTATACTCATTATTCTCTTTATAGTCAGATGTTTTGAACATGTATGTGTCTTGGTTCATAGACTCTTAGATATTTGGTACTTGAAGCAGCTAGAGTAAACTATCTGTATCGGTATATATCAGTTTTGCTGAATCCCCAAATTTAGACTTAACATAGTTCTGATAGAAGTAATATATAATCGTTTTTGATAAATCGAGGATCATAAATCCAATATGGATAGTAGACCGTTTCACTTTTCAATCATTAGCTACTTTTTTCACCTCGTCACATGAAAACGGATACATTTTTGGATGTAGAGTGACATCCATTCACCTGCTCACTGTCGGATAATTCTTTGCGCGTCTCATTGACAAAAACTTTTTCCCACCAGAATAACACGTGAAAATCGGTTTATTCGGAAAAACTCGAACTGCGTGATCGATTTCTGTTGTATCACCATAATTATCTTCAGTATCTGTCAGGATATATATCATACAACAAGGGAGAGAAAAATAATTGGAAATAATGTCTGAGGTAGACAACAAAAGTGATGAAAAAACTCAAAATTTCTGAATTTGGTGAAATAAAGCATTAAAATGGAGACAAAAAATCTCAAAAATATTATACAACTTCAAAAATTCGTGGGATTTTATTCGAAATAATTGTGTCATTATTTTCCATTGTGGTCAGTTGAATTCCAGTTCTACTGAGCCTAATAATTGAATAACCAACAGATCTCCCCACTCAAATTTCCCTCTACAGCCTCACAGATATTTCTCATATTATTATCACTATTTACTTTGTCGTAGGAGCTCTGTTCTAGCGGCAATACTGATCTACAAATGAAAAAATTGAATAAAAAAAAATACCCCACGGGATTTGAACCCATGTCGTGTATGGAACTCGTTTTGATCTCTTGTACGCTAACCACTTCGCAAATTACGGTGCAGACATTCAGGAATTTTCGGGAAAAATTGCAACTCATTCGGTATTCATTGTTTTTCCACGTTAATATCCATTCATTACCGTCAGTGCTTGTTTAGACTTATCTGTGAGCGATTGCTAACATCGTGCCGTGACGTCCGTGCGTTTTCATTGAAGTTTGTTTTTGGGTCTGAGTTATTTTTCATAGGACGAAAGTCACGAAGCTGTAAACAAATGAATTGAAATATTGACAAGTGGGAATAAAAATGAAGAAATTCAAACAGGCGATTTATTTGGTTGGTTATGAAGAAGAAAAAATCGTTGGTTGCAAGCAGCCGATGACTAAGCAGGTTTTGAGTGTTTTCTTCTACAAATATACCACGTTGAAGTTTCCTATTACAAAATGTTCATCAGAGACAATCAAAGAAGTAAAGACTTTCTGGGAAAAAGCTCAGATCCCAACACGAAGAAGTGAAAGTATTATGAAAACACTGAAAAATGTTTATGGTGAATGGAAATCACTCCGGAAGAATTGCTCTAGGCGGAACTCGCTGACTCAGAAACAGAAAGAAGATGATTTTCAACGTCGTATCAATGCATTATTCAATATTGCCGAACAAAATGCATTGGTGACATTAACAGATGACCGGTTATTAAAAAGAAAAAAATTGGAAGAAGTTGCATGATAAAATTCCTGAGCATGAAAACAGTCAATAGCACAGAGCTTGTTACGTTGAGTCGCGCCAATGTGAAATGAGAAATAAAAGTGCAACATCGGTGAATTTTCTTCTACTGGAAAGTATTAAAAATGAAGCAGCTCATTGGAGAAAGATACTTTACAGAATTCTGGACGTCGTTTTATTCCTTAGAGAAAGGGGATTGGCATTTAGAGGGAATAATACTTTAATTGGCGATCCAAAGAATGGCAACTTTCTCGGTCTTTTGGAATTAATTGTTCATTATGAGCCTTTATTACATGAACACTTGGAATGGGTGAAGGAATCTCAAGCAAATAAGAAACGACTCCAAGTTAATTATTTGTCTTCTGAAACGCAAACTGAATTTATCGACTGTTGTGCAACTCAAATTGTTCGCATTATAGAGAACGAGAGAGAGTCAGTCAAGTATTATTCAATTATCGTCAGTGTAACACCTGATTCGGCCCATGTTGAGCAACTGCAGACTGTTTTCATTTTGCGTTACGTTTTATTGAATAAGGAATCTGGGGAATGGGAAATCTAGGAGCAATTCTTGGAATTCGTGGATTGCAACACTCCAAAAGCACAACATTCCACTTGACGACTGTCGTGGGCAATGATATGACAATGGCA